AAAGAAAGAAAGAAAGAAAGAAAGAAAGAAAGAAAGAAAGAAAGAAAGAAAGAAAGAAAGAAAGAAAGAAAGAAAGAAAGAAGAAAAGGGACGGGGGAATGGAAAGAAAGAAAGAAAAAGAAAAGGGAAGGGAGAATGGAAAAAAGTAAGAAAGAAGAAAAGGGAAGGAGGAATGAAAAGAAAGAAAGAAGAAAAGGGAGGGAGGAGTGGAAAGAAAGAAAGAAGAAAAGGGAGGGAGGAATGGAAAGAAAGAAGAAAAGGGAGGGGAAAATGAAAAGACAGATAGAAAAAAGGGGAGGGAGAAATTGAAAGAAAGAAAGAAAGAGAAGAAAGAAAGAAAGAAAGAAAGAAAGAAAGAAAGAAAGAAAGAAAGAAAGAAAGAAAGAAAGAAAGAAAGAAAGAAAGAACTGGGTGGGTGGATGGGGGGAACAGAATGTAAAAAAAGTAAAATTAACCAAGTGAAACTCATGTAAACCATGAACTGCTGCTAGTGGCAGGCAGTGAGGTCGTTTTATCCTGGAAAATCCCAGCCTGGCTGATCTTCTCCCAAACCAAGATTGGCAGATTAATCACTACATCCTGCATACCAGATATTTACATTACGATTCATAACAGTAGCAAAATTACAGTTATGAAGGAGCAACGAAAATAATTTTATGGTTAACTGTATTAAAGGGTTCGCGGCATTGGGAAGGTTGAGAACCACTGCTCTAGGGGGTGGTGCTCATTTCTGTTTCTTAGCCAGGGGAGCCAGTGTTGTCCGAAGACATTTCCATGGTCATGTGGACAGCCTGACTAGATGCCAAGGTGCACAGAACACAGTTATTTTCCCACTGAAGTGGTACTTATTTATCTACTTGCATTGGTACACTTTTGAACTGGAAAAGTGCTGGAGCTGGAGCGAGGAACAGGAGCTCACCCCATTCCAAGGTCTCAAACCCCGGCTGTCAGCATTCCAGCTGACAAGCTCAGTGTCTTTAACGGCTGAGCCATTTATAATAAGGTTTAACCAGATGTTGTGGTTGATTGGAATTTGTTGGTTGGGATTTTTAGAAATTTTGACAAAATTTGCCTGTAAACTAAAATCCCCTTTTGGGATTCAGCTACCCTATGGAGATGTATTTTATTTAACTTTTTAACTTAACTGAAGAGGGGGGGGGAGGCAATGATAGCTAATTATATTTCCTTTCAGAAACACCTGAAGCAAAATTGTAGGAAGTAACAAGAACTTTTCTGTTTCGGATCAGGGTTCTCTGATATAAAACTTCTAAAAATACCCCTACATTCTGAGTTGACAGCATAATGCAGCCTTTTTGGTACAAGTAGTGCTCAATGTGCAACTACAACTGAGCCCAAAATTTCCATTGCTAAGTGAGTTTTGCCCCATTTTTTGACCTTTCTTGTCAAAGTTGTTAAGTGAATCACTGCAGCTGTCAAGTTAATAACATGGTTGTTAAGTGAATCTGGCTTTCCCGTTGAGCTTGCTCATCAGAAGGTCGCAAAAGGTAAATCATGTGACCCTGGGACACTGCAAACCATCATAAACACATGCCAGTTGCCAAGCATCTGAATTTTGATCATGTGGCCATGGGGATGCTGCAGCAATTGTGTGAAAAATAATCCTAACTTACTTTTTTCAGTGACTTTGTAACTTCTAACAGTAACTCAAGGACTACCTGTAATGCTGTATAAACTAAAGGTAAATGTTCCCCTTGAACATATGTGCTAGTTGTTCCCGACTCTAGGGTTGGTGCTCATCTTCGTTTCAAAGCCAGCGCTGCCCGAAGACATTGTGGTCTTTGTGGTCATGTAGCCAGCATCACTAAACACTGAAGACGCACGGAAAGCTGTTACCTTCCCAACAAAGGTGGTCCCTATTTTTCTACTTGCATTTTTATGTGCTTTCAAACTGCTAGGTTGGCAGAAGCTGGGACAAATAACGGGAGCTCACTCCATTACGCAGCGCTAGGGATTAGAACCACCGAACTGCCAACCTGTCTGATTGACAAACTCAGCCACCGCGTCCCTCAATGCTGTATACTTAGTAAGATTAACCTGTATTCTGTATACTTAGTAAGATTAACCTGTATTCTGTTAGTAAGATTAACCTAGCAATAGGTTGATTTGTAAATTAAAATCAAACTCAGCTTTTAAAATAAAATGCCTATAACCTATAACCTTTCAGAAGACATGTAAGGAAAAAAGAGTTGAGGCAAAACATTACAAGAAGGCAGAAACGGGGGAGGAAAGGAATAGATAGGAGGGATTGAGATGCAATTGGTTGAATTAGGCCAAACAATTTCTACAGTGTCTGAAGTAGAACTGGAGGAGAGATTGATGGAATAGCTGAAAGGGAAGATAAATTTCCTGATCTCAGAGCCGTATCACAGATAGTCTCCCCTTTGTGAATTGTTGGGTAGTTGGTGATCTGTAATACAAAGTGGATGTGGTGGCTCAGTGGCTAAGATGCTGAGCTTGTCTATCAGAAAGGTCGACAGTTCGGTGGTTTGAATCCTTAGAGCTGTGTAACGGAGTGAGCTCCCGTTACTTGTCCCAGCTTGTGCCAACCTAGCAGTTCGAAAGCACGTAAAAAGTGCAAGCAGAAAAATAGGGACCACCTTTGGTGGAAAGGTAACAGCATTCCATTCACCTTCGGCATTTAGTCATACCGGCCACATGACCACAGAGACTTCTTCAGACAGTGCTGGCTTTTCGGCTTTGAAACGGAGATGCGTGNTGAAACGGTATAGGGTTTCCTGCCTAGGCAGGGGGTTGGACTAGAAGACCTCCAAGGTCCCTTCCAACTCAGCTATTGTATTGTATAACCATGGAAATTGGGGGGGGGGGGAAGCAGCCTAATGCTTTACAATGGCTTTATGGGAGTACAATACCTCTTTTGGAGGCTATTGTAACTCCGAACAGTCATTAAATGACCAGTCATAAGTTGAGGACTACCCATATAACTTTTACTAGTTCGACTGAAATTGAATCAGTGATGGCTTTAGCCTATCTTAAGTGGAGGAAGGTTAACTTAGAAGGAGGCCTTAGTTCTGTTGCCCTATCTTGCATATCATAGTCTTTTTGAACTTCTGCAAAAACCTGATGGATTTCCATGAGGGTAATGGGGGGGTGGGGAGTTCATTCAATGTCAATATTTTGTTACTAGAGCTTTACCTTTTGATCAGAGATTGCAGATTTTTTTTTTAGCTAACCAGGTTCTCTGGCCTGAAAAGTTTAACACTCCCCAATCTAGATGAATGCAGTCAATAGAATTGGCAAAAACGGTTAACTGATGATTTATGGCAAGCTATTTCCAGCTGATGAATAGCTCTAGTTTAATAATGATGGATTACCATTATATTAGCATAATATGGCTGAATGAATGAATGATAATTAAAAACCACTAAGCTGATAAAATGAAAATTGACCACTCTTGTGTTCAGAATGTCAAGTTGCTGTAACTCACATTTTTTTCAGCCACGCAATTTTTCTTTCCTTTCTTTTTTTTACCATGTTCCGTTTCCTCTGCTGAGGAGAATGGTGGAATTCCTGTATTTTGGTATTGTCTTTCGTTGTTAAAGGATCCACACCCTTCCAATACTGAAATATATTGTTGAAAACCGTTTCACATTTATTAGAATATCACTTGTCAAGACTAAATACCTTTAAGACAACTGCTGTTCTGCTCCAGTTCCCCTCTCTCTACCAATATGCTCCAGATTTTTAAGGGCCCAACTTGTTGATGCTTCCAGAGACAGAGACAATCTGGAGCATGGCAATGGCTGTGTGTTGTGGCCCACCAGCAACCAGCAGATCTGGCACCACATTCGGACAGTGAGGAGGTTGGGGAGGAACATGGGCCAGTCCTGGAGTCTGAGAAAGGCTCTGATGAGGGCTCTGCATCTAAGGCAGAAATGGGCCAGGGGCGTCTGACTGTTATCAGCTGCCTTCGGAGTCAGACATCAGTGAGGCAGACGAACAGCTGGAGCTTGATCCCAGTGTGTGCATGCGCATAGCTGCCAGGAGAAGCGAACAGCTAAGAAACAAGGATTGACTCAGGAGTAAAACCACAGGTAGGTGGTGAATGGCCCCTCCCATAGGGAATAAAGAAGAGCAAAAGGGGAGGGGAGTTTCCAGGAGACAATTAGTTCAATTCATTAGGGTCAGGATCTGTTCTTGACTTCTTGCCAAGTATTGTCTGCTACAGCGTGGCGTTTGGAAGATATCAGCCTGGCAGCTCTCCAAGCCTGATAAAGGTCTGTAGTTGTGAAAGACTGTTGGCCGGGACTTTGCTGGAGAGGAATTCACTTTAAACTAAATAAAAGGGGTTTAATCGGGATGAGGAGTTGGCTTCGTGCTTTGAGAAGCCACAGAACACTATGTTTGAATAGTCTGCTATGTTAAAAAGGCAGGTTGCTAAATTGGTATTGATATTTCCCCCTTCCAATTCTACATTGTGCCTCTTATTAGGTTGGCAACTCTTAACACTGCTGTGAGTCAGTTGGTTGAAATGGGCATTACACAAGTAAAAGGAAGTATGTTAAAGGTAAAGGTATCCCGTTTCCAGGTGCGCCAGTTTCTAGGGCAGTGGTTCTCAACCTGTGGGTCGCGACCCCTTTGGGGGTCAAACAACCCTTTCACAGGGATTGCCTAAGACCATCCACCTCCACTGTCGCTCATGCTCAGGAGTGCGTCCTGAAGCGGCAGGTGCATGAAGAGCGCCGGGTGGCGAATCAGCCTCCTCACAGCTCCGGGCACAACCCAGACTCTGCCCTGCCTGGTCTCCACGCCAGGGAAAGGATGAGGCGCTGAAGGGGGAGAGAGACGGCTTCTTCTGGGTGGCGGATGAGCCTCGTTTCCAACAGACTTCCAAAGCGAGCGCGGTCGGCGGTGCCATTTCAGCCTAGCCGCCTGCACAGGGGCTCGAAGGTGCCCAGAGAGCAGGAGACCGGTAGGGCAGTTGAGCCACCCGCTTCAGCCAGCGGGATGGGCTCTTGCCCAGGCAGGCGCATGCCAGGATTCAAGCTGCCTTGGGCCTGGATGCTGCCTTTGCCGCCCCCGCCGCCGGTCCTGTCCTGCGGGCTAAACTGAGCTCGGGAAAGGCTGGCAAGAGAGGCCGGAGGGGAGGACAAGCACCACCCACCCATTCCTTCCGTCCCAAGGAATTCCACTTGGGATGGAAGAACAGTTTGATGTAGCTTAAGCCTCCATTTAAAATCCCATTTAAAGGGCAACTTCTTAATCTGTGTTAGAAAGAAAGAAAGAAAGAAAGAAAGAAAGAAAGAAAGAAAGAAAGAAAGAAAGAAGGAAGGAAGGAAGGAAGGAAGGANGCATTTAGTCATACCGGCCACATGACCACAGAGACTTCTTCAGACAGTGCTGGCTTTTCGGCTTTGAAACGGAGATGCGTGCTGGCCCCTAGAGTTGGGAACGACTAGCACGCATGTGTGAGGGGAACCTTTAGCTTTAGCTTTAATACAAAGTAGAGCAGAGGTGGGAAATCCTCTCTACTTCAAAAATTCTCTCAACCCCCATAACCCTTGAAACCTGGAAACCTTCCACAAAAATGGAGAAAATACATAATAGAAATAAATACCAACTCCGTGAAGTATTCTTTGAAGAGACTGGAAGGCAGCCCGACATCATTTTGCACAGTTTTTCTGTGCTTTTAACACTAAGAAACACAGCCACCACAACTCTTTGAAATGTGTCAAGTGGAAGGAAGTCATCCATCACAACCTATGCAAACAATCTTTTTGGGGAGGGCAATCATAGAGGAACCAAGTGAGAAATTAAAATATTTATTGTCTTACTCTAATGGAAAGAAGTCTCCATCCATTATTCTCGATGCGTTTATACCAATCACTAGTACTTTCATTGACGCTCCCTTTCTCCAACTTCCTTAGATTTGGTTTGGTTGCAATCTTCGCGTAGTCTTTGGGACTATTTGCGCACAAATCCACAATAGGTCTATGAGTAAATATTTTATAATATATGCTGGGAGGAAACTTGTCCTGCAAGGAAATGTCCAGTTTGAAAAATGGTAAAGGGAAAACAGGATGAAGTCGCTACAATTTGTTTTTACAGATCCTTAGGGATATTACCTATAATAGACCTGTAAATGTCTATTTATTAACAAGGGATAAAGTTCTGGCATAAATTTCCAAGAACTCACAGTACGCATTTTAAAGTATGAAAAAACCATGTTCTTTGTAAATTTGCATTTTATGTATTATATTAAAGTGCATACATGCACATATGCACAAAGACATATATACATACAGATATAAACACTCATATTTTTACACTTGTTTTAATTATTATTACAATATAATTATTAAATGTAAACTTACCCCACCTAATCTGAATTTAATATGAACTCCTGCTGCAGCATCTAAAAATTCTGCCTGTAATCAAATAAGATTTTACACGCAATAGCATACAAACATTTTTTAAAAAAAAGTTAACAAGCTTCATTACTCTATATATCAAAACCAGCGATAGAATATTGCAGCTTTATAAAACAATTTTTTAAAATTGGAAATAAAGAATAAAACAATTGATTTTAGGACCTCATTTTTAATAGGAAAGATGATCTTGCTTTATTTTACCTAATTCCTGAAAACTAGGTTTAATTTTTGAGAGAGCCATTTTCATTTGCTGTTCTATATTTATTCTGAATCAATATTTGCAAGCAAAGAGAATCCCGATTTGGCTGTTGGCTATTGTGGGCACAACGAAAGAGAGTTCTGTCAGCAACTCAGCTGTGAGTATAACTAAGCAGGTTTCCACATGGAAAGCCAGAACACTACCAGAACATTCTTTAGGAAAGAGCAACTACAGGCTCTTTATAATCTGTGGATTTCAACTCCCAGTGTTGCTAAGCTAACTGGCTCAGGAATTCTGGGAATTGAATCCTAGGGGTCATAAAGGGCCCATAGCAGAGGTGGGTTGCTCCTGGTTTGGCCTGGATGTGGGAGGCTCTGCCTACCCGTCCGGACACTTCTGCGCATGCGCAGAAGCTTCAAAGTCATGCGCAAGCACATGTACGAGCGAACTGATAGTAAAAAAAATGGAAACCCACCACTGGGCCATAGTTACCCATCCTTTCTTTAGGGTCCCCTTTCCACTTTCTTTTGACAAGGTAGAAGAGAAATCTGACAGCAAATCAGCTTTATGTAGGTAAGCAGAATGATCTATCAGCAGATCAATGCAAGCCAAGTTCATTGTGCTTTTCCATGCAAAACTGGAGCCTTGCCTGAGTTCACCCCAGTCTTTGCATGGCAAGCCCAATATCCATTTGCCCAGGCTGAGATGAAGTGAGTGTTGGCAGTGATTCTGCTTTGCATAGGCAAATCTGAGACCTCCTGCCACAAAATGGTAGTTAGCAGTAAATAGAGAAAAAAGAGGGTTTAGCACATACCCTGTTTCCTTGAAAATAAGACCACCCCAGAAAATAAGCCCAATGGGCTTTTGAGCGCATGCGCTAAAATAAGACCTCCACCCAAAATAAGCCCTCCCTGGTAATATTGCAACACATGAGGTGACCACGCTTACCGACTCCTGCATCTCAAAAATAATAAGACCTTCCCGAAAATAAAGCCAAGTACTTATTTCAGAGGTCAAAAGAATATAAGATCCTGTCTTATTTTCAGGGAAACACGGTAGATATGTAGCTTTTAAATCATACTGTTCGACAACATTTTGGTGTGAATAGAGAAGATGGGAGAAGGCCGACTCCGCTGGTATAGACATGTCCAAAGAGCAGCACCTTCACCATGTTCAAGATTGCCTACTAAATAGAAGTCAATGGCTGGCAACCTCACAGGTGTCCAAAACAGAGAAGGCAAGACACCAACAAGAAAGATATGCAAGCCACAGGTCTGTACCCTGGAGACACAGCTTACCATGCAAAGTGGCACTCAATGATCTAAAAAGTGGACCCTCTATAAGCATCCTAAAGCTATACCCTCTTTTTTTGACAAAAAACAAGCCAGTTTTTGTGAAAAACAGGCCATATTTTGCTTGTTTTTGCCCCCCTCCCAGGAGCACTCTACAAGCCTCCTAAAGGCTATTCATGCCCTTTTTGGGGGGGGGGGAAACGGGCCCGTTTTCACGAAAAACGGGCCATTTTTGGGAGGCTTGCAGAGTGCAAAAACTTTTTTTAAAATTTGCCTCTTCAAAACCTTGGTGTGTCTTATACTCCGGTGCGTCTTATACTCTGAAAAATACGGTATGTAGCTTTTTAAATATTAACCACAAACTTTGATTATACCACATTAAGCCACATTAAGAGGCACACTACTGTTAATGTTAGACACGTTATGGAGCAGCATTACCTTGGATCAATTATAAAAGCATGAATGCTCAATGCTTACCACTTCATTTTAGTTTAGCCCTTACCTCTCTAGGCTCAATGTACTTCATAAGTTGGGAAGGCTCCCCATATTGCTTAAAGCCTATAAGCTCTTTATAATATTCAAATACACCCATATCCTGGAGGGAATAGATAAATGCAGTCTAATTATAAATACAAATATTACATTTGCCGACACTTTGCGCACATCAACATTTCACCCAGCCTTCCTCTGACACAATTATTAATTCATATTGTTCTGATTGTATCTTATGGTGTCCACGGAAGTGGTGAGATTTATTTGCTTGCTTGCTTGCTTATTACATTTCTATATCTGCTCATCACAACCAGTGACTCTGGCCAGCTTATACTTGTAAAACTTTAAAAACAATTCAGACAATTAAAAATAATATTATTTCATGTTTAAATAATTCTATTTAAAATAATAGAAACATTCAGAAATAAAAGTAAACAGCAGCCAAGGTAATTAGCCAATTAACAATGCAGCCACAAATGGGGCCCTTAACATATTCAGAACCCAAGGCTCAGGTACATAGGCCAAGTTTTAAAGCCTTACAAAAGGATAGCAGGGTTGGGGCCATTCTAATTTCCAAGGGGGGAATATTCCCCAGAGCAGGGGTTATTGTGGAAAAAGACCATCTTCTAGTGCCCCCCCACCCTCAGACATTCTCTGGCTGATGGGATCTGTAGCATGCCCAATCTGCTAGACGGAATTATTGTGTTTCCCCGAAAATAACACAGGGTCTTATTTTCTTTTGACCCCCAAAATATGGTCTTGGCCTTATCTTGTGTGTGTGTGTGTGTGTGTGTGTGTGTGTGTGTGTGTGTTTATTGTTTTGGGGTTGCTGGGTGGCTGCTCTCTTGCAAGCGGGCTCCTGAAGAGCTTGGCGCGGGGACGGATGGACACAGGCACAGCTTCAGAGGAGAATGGCTGCGTTGCGCTGCTGCGACCATGCTCACGAGCAGTCACCTGGCAACCCCCC